ATATTGTTTCCCCTGTAAAATGTTTCAGTATAAACCATGCATGAATTATCAATGCCTAGAAAATGAAAAAATTGGCAAAAAAATAAAAATAAAAAAAACAAATAAAATGGCCAATAAGTGCATGCAAAGATGTTCAATATCATCATTTGGGAAATACAAATCAAACCCACAATGAGATCTCACTCCACTCCCACCATGATGGCTATAAGCAAAAGATGGATAATAACAACTGTTGATGAGAACATGGAGAAATTATAGCCCTTGTACACTGCTGATAAAAATGGAAAATAGTTTGGCAGTTCCTTAAAATGTTAAACATGGAGTCACTGTATGTCCCAGAAATTCCACTCCTGGGTATACACCCAAGAGAAATAAAAACACATGTCCACACAAAGATTTGTACATGAACATTCATAGCAGAATTATTTCTAATAGCCAAGAAGTGAAAACAATTCAAATGTCCATCAACAATGAACAGATAGCCAGGCATGGTGGTGCACACCTGTAATCACAGTTACTCTGGAGGCTGAGGCAGGAGGATTGCTAGAGCCCAGGAGTTTGAGATAAGCCTCGGCAACATAGCAAGATTCTCACCTCAAGAAAAACACAATGAACAGGTAAACAAAATTGGGTATATTCATACAATGGAATATTATTCAGCCATGAGAAGAAATGAGGTTGACACACTACAACATGGATGAACTTTGAAAACATTGTACTAAGTCAAAAAAGTCTACAGCAGAAGACCACATATATTATTCTACTTATATGAAATGTCCAGATAGACAGAAAGAAGATTAGTGATTTCCAGGGGCTGTGGAGTGAAGGAAATTGGGAATGACTGCTCATGAACATGGGATTTTTGCGAGGAGGGTGATGAAATGTTCTGGAATTAGATATTGGTGATCAATGCACAACTCATAAATATACTTAAAGCTACTTTTATACTTTAAAAGGGTGAACTTTATGGTATGTGAATTATATCTCAATGAAGCTGTAATACAAGATGGGGTAAAAACTGCAAAAACAACATAATCACAACTACAGAGAGTAATAAGACAAGTTTTAACTAGTTGTGTAACCTTGAACAAATTACTTATTTCCATCTCAGTTTCATCACCTACCGAATGAGGACAATGATACTACATACTCCATAAGGTCATTCAATGATTAAATGAATTAATACTTGTCAACCTTTTGGAAGACAGTTTATCACACAGTAAGTACCCAATAAATGTTAGCAATTATTACAATTATTAACAAATGTAATTTGTATGGCTGAAGAACACTTGGATATAGTTACTTTCCCCAAGTATCACTCTAGTCAGTCCAGATTCAACTCAGAAAAGGTGGAAGGAAACCTCTCTCATGGGGAGATGTCAGGCATTGTAAGAATGGCCAAAGACCAGTAGGAAAATGAACTTTACGAATAAGAAATAAATGATTACTAAATGCTCATCTTCATAAAAATAGATGGAACCTAATTAATTAAATTGAACTCAATGAAAAATAAGAAAGAAAAACTACTTCCATGTGTCGGGAAGGTGATATAAATATTTTATTTTATTATGATCTTATAAATCAAGGCAAGCATATACTTTAATGATCAAGGTAAGACTTTACAGTAGAAGGGCAATTAAAAAAAAAACTAACAAAGATGAATTATTGCTGCATTGGGATGATTGGAAATCCACCTGCCTAGTCAGCTTTTGCTCAGAAAGGTTGCCCAGGGTCTTTCAGGAGGGGGTGTCTGCAATGGAATCTTTGAGATAACTGAAGCTTCCTTCTTTGACTGGCAACATTAGGGTAGACACACTTCTAAAACTCTGGAGTCTTAACACACTCTTCTCCCTTCCACCCAGGTTGTGGTTTCAATCCCTCTGGTGACCCTGCTAGTGCACAATCAGATGCTGTCAGCTCCCGGGGCCCCGTGGCTATCTGCCAGCCCCACCAGGGACACTACGGTTCACAAGGTCCCAGAGAAGTGGGTACTATGGATGCACTAAGTGCCCAGGTCATCACTGATTTTAGAGAACTGTAATCTTCATGAGGCCCCATATTCTCATTTTCCTCTACACTGGACAATGAATTTTCGTAAGACAGGTATTTTAAAAATTCCTCTTCTTCTTCATTTTTGTATCCCTGGCTCAGAGCGCAGGGTCTGGCCCACAGTGACCAGGTGAGGAGTAAATGCATGGAAATGCTTGGGGAATGCCTTTCTGCGGGTGAGTCTGAGCGCACATAATCCTGCTTTACATCGGAAAGTTGTTAGGGTGTTAACAGCAGATGTAGAGTTAGCAGGAGTCCAACCAACAATTCCTTCTCTTCTCTCCCTCCTCCATGAAGTTTTTCCTCTCACCACCAGCTGCGAGTGAGCCTACTTCACTGCTTCTAAGGCACTTCCCACATTTCGACCCTGTGGGGAAGTGTACCCCAGGACCCCCTTTCAGGAGACAATCGCTCCCCCAGCTGCAGGAAGTGTTCGTCTGAAGGACCATGCCAATGTCTGAGTCCCTTGCCAGAAATTGCCTCCACTGAAGGGAGGTGTCTCAGTCAAAGTTATGGCACTTCTCCTGGGGGTTAGTTTACAACCGGTGACTGTTCAGTGAGGGGATTCCAAACCTGGACTCAGTTCAGGACAACTCCGAGAGCTCTTAGTGGGATGGACTAGGCCTCTTTTGTGTGTGTGTGTCCCTGCAGCACAACCCTCTTCTTGCCCCTACCCCCTGCTGTCTTCCTCTCTTACTACTCTTTTCCTCAAGAACACTCCTCAATAAACTCCCCTGCACACAAGTTTCTGAGCCTGCTTCCCCAGGGAGCCAACTTCAGACAGTAAGACTCCAGCGTGGACAGCCTGCAGCGCCCGTCTCAGCACATAGCCATGCTCGGTCAATGTCAATCACATGAACGGACTCCTCTTGCACCCACCTTTCTTGTTATGATGACGGCAGGTGAGTAAGCCACCAGCAGAGTTAGACAGAAGTTGTGGGTTGCTGGGGAAATGGGTGTTAAATCATCCTCAAACCTAATCAGCGACAGACTCCCCAAGCTCTTGGGGCCATGGAATATTTGTGTGGGCAACCAAAGTGAACCCCTGTAGTTGGTAGAGATGACACTCCTCATCAAAATGAGAGGTCTGTCTCCCCTCCCTTTGAGTCTGGGAGGAGGGACTTGTGAATGCTTTGAGCAATAGAAGGTGACAGAAGTGATGCTGTGTCACTTTCCAGATCTTGTCTTCTGGAATTCTCTCTCTCTGGGATTCCTGAGCTGCCAGGTAAGAAGGCCTACTCCCTGAGACCACCACATGTAGGTGCTCTGATGGATGCTCCCTGACACGCCAACCTTCTAGCCATTCTCTGCCCCCAAGTTGCCAAACATGTGAGTGAAGCTGCCTTGGACGGGCCCAGACCCATCAATCCACCATCTGAATACCACCTAGTGACCATGGTCACTTCTACACAGAGACAAGAATCACCAGCTGGGGTCTCAACGAATTCCTGATCCACAAAATCATGATAGAACAGAATGGTTATTATTTTAATTTGCTATATAGCAATAGATAATCAGAGGAACCCCATCCCGGAATCCCCTCAACACCTCCTTCTAACTCTCTATGGCCTCACCGGGAATGGGACAGGAAAGGGAACACGCATCTGCTGTCTATTGTACTCAAGTGAGGGCCCGAGGATTTCAAATTAGACTTGCCTAAATTGAAACATTTAATCTGCAACCAGCCTAAAAGTAGAACTGATTTCACTTGAGCCTTTCTCAAGTGTATTTCCATTTGACAGGCTTTATGGTTTCGTTTAGAGAAAAAATGAAATGGTGACAAATAATTAAGAAAACCAATACTGAGTAAGGATGCTCTCCCAGGCATGGTTCTGAGGGGCCACAGACCTCCGCTTCCAGGCCTCTGGAGAATAGATTCCCAGGGAATCTTGGTCTTAAGGCTTTAGTTTAAAATGAAACTTTAGAACTAGAGATGTGTTCCCTCAAATGTATAATGACCTCAGGTCATGCATGATTTTGGAGACGTGGGACTAATTCACATGTTTTTCCATACTGTCTCCAGAAATAATTCGTGTCAGACTCTGTCCAGATTTTCCATCTGTAATATGTGGCCACCATACTTACCCTGGGATTCTTCTTCTGGCTTCTCAAGCCAGGGCTCTATTTCGAGGTCTGCTCATTGAACAACTGCTACTCAGAGTTCTGAGTTTATGTGGCTCCACGGACTGTCCCTTCTAAATGCCCATCACTGTTATGGAAGCTGCAGCCACAATGTGACTATCAAAGATCTTACCCTACTTCCTAGTCTCAAAAAGACAAACAAACAAACAAAAACCCCACAAACAAACAACCCACAGAAACAAAACACTTCAATAAAAGATAAGTCAAGGAGCCTAGCTCAGTCAGTGTTCAAAGTTTCTGAATGATCACCAAATCTGGACTCTGTGAGCAAAAGAAGAAAGCTAAGATGGTTGAGTCCTTACTGTGTGCAAATACCACGAATTTATATGCACGATCACAAGTCTCACAGTATCACTGTGCAGTGGGTATTATTAGCCTCTGCTCACCAATAAGGACACATTGGCATGGAGAGGGTTACAGGGTTATGTAAGCTGCTCAAGGTTTCACAGCCAGTAAAGGATGGGAGAGAAAGGGGGGAAGAAGGCAGCGATTCAAACTCAGACATGTCTGTCTGAGGCTAAACAAAGCCCGAGAGAAGGAGTAAGAATTTCTAGCTGTTATATTTGCTCACACAAGAGGAAAACATTGCGATCACCAATGAGGTGGAAGACTTTTACGACTAATTCAAACTAGTAACTGGATATAGTGTGAATGTTTACACTTAGAGTCAACCTTTTTCTAGGTCAGTGAGGTTATTGGTGCTTTACTTGGAATCTTACAGCTAGTCACTAAATAGGTGATTTATTATGCAAGAAAAGTATTGGACCCCATGTTACATACATATAAAATATGCAAAAATATTTACATACCTACGCAGGTGTGGCTGTGGGAGTGGGTGGTGCCCAGTTGGTCGCGGTGGGCTGGAGAAGCCGAGGAGTGCAGGGGCAGGAGGAAGAATAGAGAGCAGCCATAAGGATTTTCCAGGGGAACTTCATCTCTGAGCTGTGCACCAGGGGAGATCTCCTGACTCCGGAAGCTGCCGGTGAAGGAATGCTCAAACTGAGGCCACAGAGTCAGTCGGTCTCTCTGCGCTTCTCTTCCTGTCTCTGACACATACACCCCAAGCTCTCACATACACGCTCTTCAGTAAGTGTGACACGAATGAAAACACACACACTCCCAGACCCACAGCTCTCAACTGTAGGACCCCTGAGAGAGCCACATGGGGCAGAGTCTGGGGAGAACTGGAGGGAGTCCCTGGTGTGCAGATCTTCTGAGCCAAAACCTGCAGAAAAACTAGGCAGAAAGAAAAAACTAGGCTGCACTCTCTTCTCTGCTCCCTGGCTGAAGTCAGTGACCATAAACCGCGAACTCAGGCTCGCCGGAACTGTTTTGTTGGGTTGGTTAGGAGGCCCTTCCCCTTTCATTCTTGCAAAGCAAAGCTAAATTAAAACTAGAACTGAAGCAGAAAAAAAAAAAAAAAGAAAACAACTCTAAACCATAAACACACAACCCTTTAGCAATTTGACCAGCAGCACCCACATATTGTAGAAATTATAACTTGTTATGTTCAGAAGTTATTTAGTTTTGTTTTAAACAGCTTTATATGGGCTCTTTGTTTTATTGTTAAAGAATATTCTAGTCAAGTAGCGTCTTTCCTCTGGAGAAGCTGGATTATTCCTTGAAGGGTCAAGTTTTCTCAAGGCCTTTCATGTGGTGTGTAGAAAATGAGCCGTGCAGAAAATAATGGGCAGTCTGCTAGGCTGGATTTCAGATCTAATGAGAAAAAAGATGAGTTAGAATTAGCCAATTCATATTTACTTTGGCTGTGTGTGATGCATCTTTTTTCTCCAGAATTTCAAAGTGTGTTTATATTTCCTGCCTGTGGATAATTTGTTCATTGTGCAGAGACTGATTTTCTGCTTTGAAGATGAGAATTGAGCACTGTTTTTCTGGAAAAAAACAAATCCAAACCAGATCATAGATAAAGAAAGACATATATAATACTTTGTTCTAAAATAGGATACAGCCAAGTCATATGCCATCTCAGACGAGATAAGAAGACGGGGCCAAAGAACTACAGACTAGATAAGTGTTGGGAGTCATGTGGTTCTTTTTCTCTCTGCTTAGGCTCTGAGGAAAGCTAATTGCAAACTTTGAAATATTATGGAGGCTATCTGAATTAGTAGCAATTTTTTTTTAAAATAGCATTTTAAATAGCAGGTAGAATTTTAAAGTTGTATCCTTTCCAGGGTGTAGGAAATGCCAATTTTTCTGGTTTGAAGGTTTTTTTGTGTAGGTATTCATCTTACAAATGCCAATGGGGCTGAAATTCCAAAACCTAGCACAAATCAGTGTTTCCCTAATTATGTCCCCAGCAGAGGTTGGGCCATGAATGCCGTGGGTATCTTTGGGTGTCCTTGGTCACCTGTGGTCTTGTGACTTCCTCTGAGGCTGAGGTGCTGCCGCTTAAGGTTCCTGACCCTGAAATCGAGGGAAGCTCTAGGGGTCACTAAGATCACCATGGGGGTGTGGCCTAGAGAAGTTCCAGAGACTCCCTGGGGAGGCAGCATGATGGACCGATTAAGAACACAACCCTAACAATATTTGTACCCTCAGAATTTGCGAAATAAATAAATAAAAATTAAAAAAAAGAAAGGAACACAGATTGTGAGGACAGAAAGGCCCATATTCAAACCTCGTACTTTCGGAGTAGTATATTAGGCCAGTGATGTAAACTTTCTCCCTCCAGTTCCTCATTGATATCGGGATAATGGTACTATTCGCCTCAGAGAGCTGCCGGAGGGACTCACATAAATGATGTATCCGAACTACAAGAGGTATTTATTTATCAAAGCTCGGTGAGAGTGTGATGAGACTTGCTCTCCAGGTCAGCTTCAAGAGAATTCTAAGACACCCATGGTAGTTGCAGGCCAAGATGTAATACATGGGGAAATGGCATGGACAAGAAGAGGCAGCATTTATCGAACACCTTCTAGGTGTCGTGCAGCATTCCAGAAATGCACAGTCTAGTTTGTCTAGCCCAGAGATTGGGGAAGAATCTTCTGGAAGAGAGTTTGGCACAGGCTCTGGGCCTCCTGGGACTCTCCTGGTCTAGATGAATAACTGTGAACAGGTTGGGGAACTCTTAGGGTGAGAGGAATTTCCTGGTGTAAGGCTGTGTGCAAGTTTTATGCCCTTCATCGTGTGTGTGTGGCCAGGCAGTTCCACCCTAAGGATGGTGAGCCTGAAATGACCCTGTGTGCTCAGGCTGCAGGGCTGGCCACAGTGTGCGTCACTGACCCAGCTGTGTGGCACTGAGCAAGTCCCTTACTAATTCCAGAGGTGAGATTCCTCAGCTGGAAAAGGCAGATGAGACGATCTACACGGTCATATGGGCCACATAGCAGGTTTTTAATAAATAGAAGCAATTTCACACTTGGAGGGTAAGTTCTTACTGAGCAAGGTCAAAAAAGGACATAGAAATCAGGAAGTAATTTTTGCCAGCTGATGCTGAAACAAAGTGCATGTGTGCTTACACCACAAAACAAAACCTCCCTCTCTGTCACCGAGGTGGCACAGGCGTCCCTCAGGCTAGCGGTATCATTGCATCTGACAGAGTTGCCTTTGTTCATTGAGTGCTGAGGGCAAATGACTTAGGATCTCTGAACAACTTGCTGAAAGGCTTGCCCCACCCCCTGTGGTGATAACCTGTACCATGATCTAGTCACAACCTGTACAATGTCCCTACAGGATCCCTGCCGTCAGACACTCCAATTTAGATTGTCTCAAAATCTGCTCTTGAGAATGAGATTCCTTCCTTGAAGTGCTTTGTTACTTACTTCACTCAGAGAGCTCAGATTCAAACCCCAGCCTTCCCCTCTGCCATAGGAGGCTGAGAGTTTATGATCCTTAGACCTTGAACTTATGGTTCTGGCTTGTTCGGTATGAATATGCTTTCTGAATATTTTGTGACCTGCATTGAACCCAACCATTTCATTCACAGCAAGTTCATTAATCAGAAAAAAATAAAGAAAAATAAAGACCAGGGTGATGGGAAATCCTGTAAAAGTTGGCACTGTCACCAAGGTGCCGCTTGTCTTTGACTTTCTCCTCTTTCTGACTTTCAGCTCTGCCCTGCCCTCTCCTTGCTCTTGGCTGTCCAGGACTGTCTATGGCCATCTTCCATTCCCAGACTTTTGGCTGACTCTGTCCTCCCCAGTAAGAGCTTATTAATTCGGGTCCCACTCTATTCTGTCTCTACTCTCTCCTAAAAGAAATGGTAAACTAATCCATACCAAAGATGCATGACAACAAATTACAAGAGCTCTGGGCTCAGGATGGGGGTGACCTAGATCATGGCTTCACCCCTTAGCAGCTGTGTGCCCTGGGGTGAGCTGTTCCGCCTTCCTGAATACCGGCTCATTTAACTATAAAATAGGATATATAATGCCAATATTAAAAGAAAATTGTGGAGATTAAAGGCAAAATGTAAGTGCAAAAAACCTAGCAGCAACTGTCAGATAAATTTAAAGCTAACAAGGAATGAACTTTATCCTTCTCAAATAATGTTGAACTAGTTTTGAAATGCCTCTAAATAGATATTTTAAAATTGATTCATAGTAATTTTACACATTTATGGGGAACATGTGATATTTTGATATATGCATATAGCATATAATGATAAAATCAGGGTAATTGGAATATCCATCACCTCAAACATTTATCATTTCTTATGTTGGGAACAATCCAAATTTTCTAGCTATTTTGAAATATATGAGTTATTTTTAACTATAATCACCCTACTGTGTTACTAAATACTAGGACTTAGTCTTTCTACCCACCTGTATTTCTGTGCCCATTAATCAACTTCTCATCCCTTGCTCCCTTTCCCAGTCTCTGGTAACCATCATTCTACCGGCTGTCTCCATGAGATCAACTTTTGTAGCTCCCATGTGAGTGAGAATATGAGATATTTGTCTTTCTGTGCCTGGCTTATTTCATTTAATATAATGACTTCCAGTTCCATTTATATTGCTGCAAATAACAGGATTTTATTCCTTTTATGACTGAATAGTATTCCATTGGGTGTCTGTACACCCAATGTACCCAATTTTCTTTATTCATTCATTCATTCATTGATGAACACAGTTTGATTTCATATCTTGGCTATTGTAATAGTGCTTCGATAAACATGGGACATCTTTTCAATATACTGAATTCCTTTACTTTGGATATATACCCAGCAGGGGGATTGCTGGATCATATGGTAGATCTCCTTTTAGTTTTTTGGGAAAACTCCACAGTGTTTTCTATAGTGGCTGTACTAATTTATATACCCACTAACAGTGCACTAGTGTTCTGCTCTCTCTGTATCCTTGTCAGCATCTGTTATTCTTGTTTTTGATAATAACCATTTTAACTGGGATGAGATTATATCTCATTATGATTTTGATTTGCATTTCCCTTATAATTAGTGATGTTGAGCATTTTTTAATATACTTTTTGACCATTTGTATGACTTTTTTTGAGAAATATTTATTCAGATCATTTGCCTATTTTTGAACTGAGTTATTTGGTTTTTTTCTATTGAGTGGTTTGAGTTCCCTGAATATTTTAGTTATTAATCTCTTCTTAGATGGGTAATTTGCAAATATTTTCTCCCATTCTGTAGGTTGTCTCTTTCCTCTGTTGATTATTTCCTTTGCTGTGCAGAAGCTTTTTAGCTTGATGTAATGTCATTTGTCTATTTGTGCTTTTGAATCTTGCTGAAAAAATCTTTACCCAGACCAATGTCCTGAAGCATTTTCCCAATGTTTTCTTTTAGTAGTTTCATAGTTTCAGGTCTTAAATTTATGTCTTTAATCCATTTTGATTTGATTTTTGTATGTGGCAAGAGATAAGGATCTAGTTTCACTCTTCTGCATAGGCATATTCAGTTTCCCCAGTACCATTTCTGGAAAAGACTGTGCTTTCCCCACTGTGTATTCTTGGCTCCTTTGTCAAAGGTAATTTTGATATAGATGTATGGCTATGTTTTTGAGTCCTCTATTCCATTCCATTGGTCTGTATGTCCATTTTCTATGCCAATACCATGCTGTTTGGTTACTATAGTTCTGTAGCATAATTTGAAGTCAGGTAATGTGATGCCTCTAGCTTTGTTGTTTTTGCTCAAGATGTCTTTGGCTATTCTGAGTCTTTTGTGGTTCCATATAAATTTTAGCATTATTTTTCTATTTCTGTGAAGAATATCATTGGCATTTTGATGGGGATTTACATTGAATCTGTAGATTGCTTTTCGTAGCATGGACATTTTAACAATATTGATTGTTCCAATAAATGACCATGAAATATCTTTCCTTTTCTTGTGTGTCCTCTTCAGTTCTTTCATCAATGTTTTACAGTTTTCATTATAGAGATCTTTCACTTCTTTGGTTAGGTTTATTCCTAGGTATTTTCTTTTATTTGTAGCTATCGTAAATGGGGTTACTTTTTTTTGGTTTCTTTTTCAGATTGTTTACTGTTGATATAGAAATGCTACTGATTTTGTATGTTGACTTTTTTTCTGCAACTTTACTGAATTTGTTTATCAGTTCCAATAGTTTTTTGTGTGGAATCTTTAGGTTTCTCTAGATATAAGATCATATCATTTGCAAACAAGGATAATTTGATGTCTCCATTTCTAATTTGAATGCCCTTTCTTTCTCTTGTCTGATTGCTCTAGCTAGAACTTCTAGTACTATGTTATTAGTAAATAACAGTGGTAAAAGTTTCTTGTTACACATCTTAGAGGAAAGGCTTTCTGTTTTTATCTATTCAGCATGATACTCGCTGCAGATCTGTCATATATGGCGTTTATCATGTTGAGTAAGTTTCTTCTATGCCCAGTTTTTTGAGAGTTTTTATGAAGAAGGGGTGTTGAATTTTATCAAATGTTTTTTTCAGCATCAATTGAAATTATCATATGGTTCTTCTCCTTTGTTCTGTTGATATAATGTATCACATTGGTTGATTTGCATATGTTGAACTATTCTTAGGGTGATTC